AGAAAGGTGATGTATCGTCAAATAAAACCACAAAAGTAAACTATTGCCTAAAAATCAACAGCAGTTATTTACATTCAATTCAATCTGTCGTCTCGGATAGATTAGCAGGCATTGGTTCATAGGGGGCGGGATTACCACCGTCCATAAATGTTATTAAATGTGTATAAATGTCTCCGGATCCTCGGCAGATTGTGGAGAGAGGGATCCGCCAGTAATTTCTATTCTGTCACTAATTTGCCAAAAATCTTGAACGTTTAACTGACATTTTTTTTCTCGTCCTCAAAGGCGGCCATGTTTGCAATTACACAGACACGTTGAGCTGATTAGCCTTTGTCCCCAACCTGACGTCCAGTGTTTCCCATTAGTCCGTCACTGTAACAGGAGAAAACACGGCAGGGGCAGGTTTCACGCTTCAGTCACTCCAGCTGACTGCACTTTGGACACTTTTCTCTATCATTTGTGTTTGAGAGAGAAAAAAAATCTATTTATTTTTGTACAACTGTGGTTGTGGGAGCCAAGTTAAGCTTTGTTAGTTAGATATTTGCATGTTGCATAGTGTATATTAGATTGTGACTAATTTGATTGTTTATTTTGTTATAAATTAGTAATAACGTATTTATTTGCTTAATTAGTATTTTATGTTAATTTAGGAACTACATTTCATGTTTGTAAATACCCTTGTTGAAGTAGGTTATTTTTGTTTTACATATAACATTTACGTTACCGTCGCTTTAAGAGAGATAGGTTTTGGTTTGTTTACAGAGGAGCGAGCGAGAAGAGAGCGAGCGTAATTCGAGAGAGGCACGTAACTTTGGCAGCTCAGGAGATAAGGAGCCAAACGGTTTTCTTACCGCATTTATTTTATTAAGAGACAACTCAGCAAAGTAATTTCGTGTACAAGAGTGTGGAATAAACGTTTGTTAATTTTTACATGGAGTCCCGTGGGAGTTTTTCTCTTTTTTTTTAAGGTAACGCGAGTAAGCCATCGGCAACAAGTGGAAGCTGCAGAGTACATTAGTAAGAAAACCAAGCTCATCAGTGGATTAATGGACGTGTGTGGATATATGTGGAAGGATTTCGAGCAACAAAGACACGAATTCAAGCACCTGCAACAGTAATGAACGTGAGTAAAGTGGCACTTCTACAACTCAAAAAACTCTGCCGAGTCATCGCGTAGCAGCGTGGTCCTTTGTTCTATCGGGTGCAGCGCCATCGCTATTACTGCATTATTACCATGAACCCAAACGGAGAAGAAGACATGAGCGTTGTAGTTGAACCCAGGGTTGTGAAAGTAACTCCCAAGGCACAAGGAGAAAAGTTACACAGAGCTATAAATCTGAGAAAAGCAAAGCTTTCTAAACTTACAAGCACAGTGAACCAAGTGAGGTTATTGATGGAAAATGGTGATGATTCATGTTTGGAAGAAGTTAAACAGCTAATGGAGGATTTTCAGAGGCTTTATGATGTTTTCTGTGAGTTAAACACTAATGTTAAAGAGCTATTTCTGGAACTATCTGAGGAGGATGCAAACAAAGACCAAGAGTGCTGGTTCGAACCTAAAGCAGACTCTTTTAAGACTTTTGCCAAAAACAGCCCAGGCTTGGATTAAAGAGACTGACAGAGGCAGAGAGAGAGAGGCAGAGAGAGAGAGGCAGAGAGAGAGAGGCAGAGAGAGAGAGACAGAGAGAGAGAGGCAGAGAGAGAGAGGCAGAGAGACAGAGGCAGAGAGAGAGAGGCAGAGAGAGAGAGGCAGAGAGAGAGAGAGAGAGAGACAGAGAGAGAGAGACAGAGATAGAGAGGCAGAGAGAGAGAGGCAGAGAGACAGAGGCAGAGAGAGAGAGGCAGAGAGAGAGAGACAGAGAGAGAGAGGCAGAGAGAGAGAGACAGAGAGAGAGAGGCAGAGAGAGAGAGGCAGAGAGAGAGAGACAGAGAGACAGAGGCAGAGAGAGAGAGGCAGAGAGAGAGAGGCAGAGAGAGAGAGACAGAGAGAGAGAGACAGAGAGAGAGAGGCAGAGAGAGAGAGACACAGAGAGAGAGAGGCAGAGAGAGAGAGGCAGAGAGAGAGAGGCAGAGAGAGAGAGGCAGAGAGAGAGAGACAGAGAGAGAGAGACAGAGAGACAGAGGCAGAGAGAGAGAGGCAGAGAGAGAGAGGCAGAGAGAGAGAGACAGAGAGACAGAGGCAGAGAGAGAGAGGCAGAGAGAGAGAGGCAGAGAGAGAGAGGCAGAGAGAGAGACACAGAGAGACAGAGGCAGAGAGAGAGAGGCAGAGAGAGAGGCAGAGAGAGAGAGGCAGAGAGAGAGAGGCAGAGAGAGAGAGAGACAGAGAGAGAGAGACAGAGAGAGAGAGACAGAGAGAGAGAGACAGAGAGAGAGAGGCAGAGAGAGAGAGACAGAGAGACAGAGGCAGAGAGAGAGAGGCAGAGAGAGAGAGGCAGAGAGAGAGAGGCAGAGAGAGAGAGGCAGAGAGAGAGAGACAGAGAGAGAGAGACAGAGAGAGAGAGACAGAGAGAGAGAGACAGAGAGAGAGAGGCAGAGAGAGAGAGACAGAGAGAGAGAGACAGAGAGAGAGAGACAGAGAGAGAGAGGCAGAGAGAGAGAGGCAGAGAGAGAGACAGAAAGACAGAGGCAGAGAGAGAGAGGCAGAGAGAGAGAGGCAAAGAGAGAGGCAGAGAGAGAGAGACAGAGAGAGAGGCAGAGAGAGAGAGGCAGAGAGAGAGAGGCAGAGAGAGAGAGGCAGAGAGAGAGAGACAGAGAGAGAGAGACAGAGAGAGAGAGACAGAGAGAGAGAGGCAGAGAGAGAGAGGCAGAGAGAGAGAGACAGAGAGAGAGAGACAGAGAGAGAGAGACAGAGAGAGAGAGGCAGAGAGAGAGAGGCAGAGAGAGAGAGACAGAGAGAGAGAGGCAGAGAGGCAGAGAGGCAGAGAGAGAGAGACAGAGAGAGAGAGGCACTCAAAGCAATAGAGATTAAGCCCCTTTCATCTTCAAGCAGACTCATATTTCCTCAAGTTTAGTGGAAGATGTGTGATTGCTCTCTGGTCTCTCTCTCTGGTCTCTCTCTGGTCTCTCTCTGGTCTCTCTCTGGTCTCTCTCTGGTCTCTCTCTGGTCTCTCTCTGGTCTCTCTCTGGTCTCTCTCTGGTCTCTCTCTGGTCTCTCTCTGGTCTCTCTCTGGTCTCTCTCTGGTCTCTCTCTCTCTCTTTTACAGCCACTGCCGGTCCCACTTCTGACTGCAGCAAATGTACATTCATACGCCTCCCGTCCCCATGAAGCACTAAATACAGGCATTTCTAAGAATCGCAGTTCAAAAAGGAGACAGCCGCCATTACACACGGGAGCGGAGTCAATGGCTGGGCAGGGAACTGTGAAGAGGCTTGTGCCAAATGTGGATTATCCGTTTGGGTTTTTTCATCCACCATTGGACACCTTATAGCTTTGATATTGCATAGAACACTGACTGAATGTATGTGGCATTCATCCAAAGGCCACATATGTCGTTTTGAGTCCCTGAATAGAGCACCGGGAATCAGAAGAGTACAGTGGGGACAGTGGGGATGATCCAGGACACCGATATTCAACGACATTTATGGATATTTATTATAGTAGTAGTAATAGTAGTAGTAATATTTATTTATATACCGCCTTTTCACTGCAGATCAGAGTCTCAAAGCGGTTTACAATTGTTAATTTTGGGCATTAGTCTCTCACTCCACACAGAGATGGGAGGGGCCAGTACAGGAGGCACATGCCAGACCTATTGTACATGTTTTCAGTGGTAGGGGAAACCGGAGCACCCGGAGGAAACCGGAGCACCCGGAGGAAACCTACGCAGACATGGGGAGAACATGCAAACTCCACTCAGAAAGGCCCTGGTCCAACCGGGATTCGAACCCAGAACCTTCTTGCTGAGAGGCCCCTTATGGTCCAATGTCTCGATGTGTTTTCTTTGTGTTTGAACTGTTTGATTCTCTGATCCGTGTCGGCAAATTTGACGGTTTTGTAAAGTCCTCCAAGACAAACTACTGTTTTTGCCAAATTTACTGATTTTAAGGCTAAATAAAAATACATTGAATTTAATTTAATTTGTTCTGTTTAATCTGTATTTAACCGGGAAAGTCCCACTGAGATCCTGGAAGTCCTGGAATTTAATTGAATTGTGATGACCTGCACAAAGTAGTACAAAGTGCAGACACCACCAAATCCAGGACTAAGACCAGGATTGAGACCAGGGCCAGTACTAAGACCAGGACCAGGACTTAGACCAGGAAAAGGACCAGGACTAAGACCAGGGCCAGTACTAAGACCAGGACCAGGACTTCGACCAGGACAAGGACCAGGACTGAGACCAGGGCCAGTACTAAGACCAGGACCAGGACTTAGACCAGGAAAAGGACCAGGACTAAGACCAGGGCCAGTACTAAGACCAGGACCAGGACTTCGACCTTGACAAGGACCAGGACTGAGACCAGGGCCAGTACTAAGACCAGGACCAGGACTTAGACCAGGACAAGGACCAGGACTGAGACCAGGGCCAGTACTAAGACCAGGACCAGGACTTAGACCTTGACAAGGACCAGGACTGAGACCAGGGCCAGTACTAAGACCAGGACCAGGACTTACACCAGGAAAAGGAACAGGACTAAGACCAGGGCCAGTACTAAGACCAGGACCAGGACTTAGACCAGGACAAGGACCAGGACTGAGACCAGGGCCAGGATTAAGACCAGGACCAGGACTGACAGTAGTAAAGGTCTGTCAAATGTGAATCTATTTGGACTCAGAACATGCTCATCTGTTCAAAGCTGTCTATGTTGACGACCCCTGGTCAACTGCTGCGGCCCTCTCATTAAAAAGTTTGGACACTCCCGCCACAGACGCCACCCCCCCCCCCCCCCCCCCCCAACCCTCTGTCAGGGCCGCGGTGCCTGAGGACTCCTTTCTCTCACTTATCGCGGCTCTTCATGTCGAGCGGCAGTGACTAAAGACCTCTATTCAGCGCCTCCACTCAGACGGGCTCTTGTGACATCACAGGCGACGCAATCAGCCGCAGCAGCGCAGGGTAAGCTAATCGTATCGAACGAGAACGGCAATTAGCGACAGGATTAAAAGATCTTTGATATGGGAGAAGATGTAGTGTTTTTTTCTTCAAATTGGACCTCTGTTATAAAGTTGAATTGAATATAATTGATGACATCATATGAGCAACTCTGATTGATCTCACACGATTGAATCAGTCGTTTCATCTAATTGGATAATCTATGGGTTTGATTAAGGTGAAGGTCAGTTACTTTTCAAAATTGTGAAGACAGAGAGACGTTTTTTTTTAATGAAATCACCCGTTAGACCCGCCCCTAAAGCTTCCTGATTGGATGTAATTCATTCAAATGCCTGATGACAACTAAGGCCCCTCACCATTGGTCAAACTATTCTCCTTCAGCCACTCTTACTGGTATATTATGAGAAATACTTTATATAGTTGATACTAGATGGTACACGGTCCAAAATATATATTCTTTTGTTGCAGACATCACCTTTAATAAAGTATTCACCTTTTTAATTTCTAAAAACATTCTTAAAGCCAGCTTGCTCCAACTGAAAAAACGTGTTAAGCAAAAACAAATGTGACCTTTCTAAGAATATTTACCTCCACCATGTTTTTTGAATTGTTGTCATAGACTTCATAGATCTCCATCCATTCATTCATTTTCTACCCCTTTATCCATGTCTGGGTTGGGGGGTGTCAGTCAGAGCACCAGCCCCTCTCTGATCCTCCTGCGGGTGCTGAGTCCACAGGAGGGGTGTATACTGTACATGATGGAGGAGTGCTCTCCAGGTCAATGCACCATGTTGAAATACAGTGGTGGATAAGGGAAAAAAAAGGTTATTTTGGGCCACTTAAAGCATTGATAATGACCATACTGAATTTACTTAGACGTGGAATTTTCTTTGTTCAGAGTTATTTTAGAAGATCCATGAAGACTGAAAACAATATCCACTATTTCCATCTGTGCACTTTCCATACGATTGTTCAATCTCTGAGCTACTACAGCTTATATTAGCAGCTGAAAAACAAATATTGCCACGCATGAAATATGTTTGTGACTATGCAAAAACGCTGTCTATAGAAAAAGTCCTATGAATATTGCCGTCTCTGTCTCACCAGCGAACATGGGAGCGCAGCTGACACACTGTCAATGCTGATATTTAACTACAGTCGAACCTGGACAAAATCACTCCTGTTCACATGTAAATGGTAAACCAAAAAGTCCACTTCAAACAATGCTCAGGCTTCCTCTTGGCACAATGACTAACATACAGTACAAACCCCTTTGGCCCAGACTGGCTGGATCCAAGGTCAATTACAGTATACCCATTTCTATTTTAACTACATATGACTTATTAAAATGATAACGTAAACAACTTGAGGGAATCAATGAAAAAACGACTCTGGGCAAACAGCTGTAATCATGTTTAAACCAGAGAAAAGTCAAAACGAGTAATCTGGGTACTTTAAAGTGAGACCTTTTTAATTGTGTTTCATTTGAAGAATATCACACACACACGCGTACACGCACACGGAGACACACATACACGCACACAAAGACACACATACACGCACACAAAGACACACACACAGAGACAGACACACACACACAAATATACACACACGTACACAAATACAACCTCAGAAGACACGCGCGCACCACATATTGAGAAACCTGTCATAGACCTACTCCTCAAACTTTTCTGCAGTTCAGTTATTAAAGTCCTCCTCTCCCTAACCTTCTGGGTGCGTTCCCATTCGCTCCAAGTGAACGCAAGTGAACGCAACCCCAAGAACGTTTTTTAGAAACAGTTTAGTCCTGTTTGAATCCATTCGACGACATCTTTTTCCTCACAGAGCCTTGAGTCTCTAAGATGAAAACTGGGTCTAAATGGAGCTAGCGTGATAGCTAAGTTGGCAGTTCTCAGGCCTCACGGCAAGGCCAGGTCACAGGTTCAAATCCCGTGGTCGGATCTTGCTGTGTGTATGTATTCGTACATACTGTGTTTCTACCAGTGTCTTGGTGGGTTTCCTCCGTGTGCTCCAGTTTTCCACCACCTTCCAAAACACGAAGATCTTATGTTCAAGATTGTCATATTTTTGACTGTCTGAAATCGCAAGGGAAGTATTGGCGCCTTTTTTCTGATGGATGTCCTGATTATGAAAAAAAGATCCTTCTTCTCCAATAATCACGTTCTCGCTTCAGCTTAGAATTTTGAGATTTCAGCGATTGAACTGATTTGTAAAGAGATTCTTCGCTCTCTTTAAGCTGGGCTAAGTTAGTTTTAAGAATAGCCAGTTCTCTGTCCTTTGAGCAGAGCAGTTCAGTCTGTTTTTTGAGCTCACGGTTCTCAGATCGGAGCGATTCCAACTCCTTACTCACTGATATTTCTCGGCCCCCCAAGATTTCTCTCAAGCTGATCTCCTCAAGTAAACGGTCTTCCATAGCTGTTATTGTTTTCCAGTTACTTCGCTCTTCCAACTTCTGATTTCTTTTGACGGGGTCGAGCTGTTGAGATGTTTGCACGTCGGTTTCCTCATTTGACTCGACGTTGGACTTGGATCTTGCAGATAGCTCAGTCTGCTCATCGTCTTCACTCTTCAGTTGAGATTTCTCTAGCTCTGCGTTGGCCTTGCTTGGCACCATCTTCTCAAACACCTCAATCTTTCCCGGTATGGATCTGGATGTACTCTGCTTATTATGTTCCCTGCTTTCTTTTAGATCTTGGAGGGCATTGGTAGCTTTTGCAATCTCAGTCCACACACAGTCATAATCTGGAGAGTCTGCGTGCTTTGTTCCTTCTGGTTTCTGGAGAGTCTGTGGGCTTTGTTCCTTCTGGTTACTCTCCTCAGATTGGACCAGTCCTGTTAAGTTTTTTATCGCCCCTTTGCCTTCAGTCTCTTCAGTCATGTCTTTGCGTTGATTTTTTGCAATTACTTCTTTCAAATCGCCGTTTTCCCTTTGAAGCCGCCGCAACACGCAACGCAAAGACGCTTCTCTCGCTATAAAAGTCTCCTCCATCAGAGACTCCTTCTGTTCTGATACCGACCTGTAACTTAGAAAGGAATCGATCAGTTCGGTGTACTGTGTTTGGAGCGACCCCACTGCCTGCTGTAGAGACTGTTGTTGCCTCTCCGTCTCCAGGATCGTGCAGTCCTTTTGCTTCAGAGCGGCCTGAAACGCTGCATGGTCCTCCTCAGACTTCTGCTTAAGGCGTTCGATCTCGACCGCCTGGATTCTGTTTTTTTCCATTTCGGCGTGAAGTAGATCGCGAGTCTCTTCTCCGCTCTTCTCCATAAGTTTCAGGGTTTCCAACATATCTGTCTGGAGTTGTGTCATTCCCAAGTCTTTGATTTCTGAGGCCTGCAAAGACGCCTCATTCGTCACTGTGACGTCAGGACTCGGCCGTCGGGATTCTTGAGTTCTTATCATCCACGCGGTCCTATTGTTTTTAAAAGAGACAGAGCGTTTAATCGCCTTCTTTTGTTTTGGCCCAATCTGGGCTTCCTCACGCTGTTTAGAACTTTCAGCTCCCATCTTGAAAAAATTGGAGAAATTCGTGGTATTTTCCCCCCCCCGAATTGCTTTCTTATTTCGTTCAACACTTTGAGTTTCCTTGAGTATGAATTGTGCAGTAAAAATAAAGTTGCCTCCCCTCACATATACAACATCTAACATGCATTAGATTATAGAACTGATGACATCACAAAGGTTTCCATAGCAACAGTTGTTCTGGAACCCGCAAGATCCATCCACTTCACGTCACCATGGCAACGCCGTGCCACCTCCACATAGGGTTTTTGATATTATACAAGTTGTTGTCAATATTTTTTAATATGGGATATAAACATGATTTAAAAGGCTTTTGATGAAACAACGTGGTTCTAGTGCGTGTCGTTCCAAAGCCCTGTTTTGAAACCATCAAAAACTATTACATTTTATTTTAACGATGGCCGTTCCACCTTTCCCCAAACATGATACACGTTGTTGGCAGGGCTGGCCCAGGCGCCCCAGGCGGTCGCCCCAGGGCACCAACTGCAGGATGGGGCACAAAATTGCAGTCTTAAAAAATATATATATATAATAAAAAATCTTCTTTTATTCTGTTATTCTGCTAAGTGTTTCCAATCATGTAAGATAAAAACAAAAACATGTATGTATACTATAAACTCAATAAAAATTGACTATAAACTCAATAAAAATTGACTATAAACTCAATAAAAATGTTCAAAAACATTGAACCCTGTACTCTGTCCTGTCAATCCAAGGTGAGTAGGTGGGGGAGGGGTAGAAAGTGTGAAAGACAAGTGGACATGTTTTTGGTCAACGTTATTATGAAAAGGCAGTCCAAGACGTCAGGTGCAGCCAAACGCCAAAGAAAAGAAGAGAATGAGAAGCGGGCTCAAAGTAGAGGTATGTGATAATTAAAATAATAATAACTTTTCATTTGGACATCCAGAGGCTCCGCTCAGCGGTTGGTGTTTGCAGCCTACGAATAGATGAGAGTCTCTGATTGATCTTTAAAGCGTTCAAAAAGAGTCCGTATTCTCAGAGTTATGAGCCGCCCGAGAGTCCTGTCTGAGACAGAGACACTTGTCGATGGGCGGAAAATACGTGCGCGATGAGCGGCGAGTTTTAAACAATGGCAAGAATGATGCACTTCAATAATGTTTCGTAAATAAAGCAGTGAGCTGCTGTGAACCAGTTCTGAGCCAGGACTGAACCAGGACTGAGCCAGGACTGAGCCAGGACTGAACCAGGACTGAACCAGGACTGAACCAGGACTGAACCAGGACTGAACCAGGACTGAACCAGGACTGAACCAGAACCAGAATTAACCAGTTTATCCCAAAATTAACAAACTCCTTTGATTAGAGAGAAACCAGAGACAGACCAGAGAGAGACAGAGAGAGACCAGAGAGAGACTATGGAGAAAAGAGAGAGAAACCAGAAAGAGACCAGAGAGAGATCAGAGAAACCAGACAGAGAAACCAGAAAGAGACCAGAGAGAAACCAGAGAGAGACAGAGACCAAAGAGAGAGACCAGAGAAAGAGGCCAGAGAGAGACCAGAGAGAGACCAGAGAGAGGCCAGAGAGAGACCAGAGAGAGCCAGAGAGAGCCAGAGACCAAAGAGAGAGACCAGAGAAAGAGGCCAGAGAGAGACCAGAGAGAGACCAGAGAGAGACCAGAGAGAGGCCAGAGAGAGACCAGAGAGACCAGAGAGAGACTAGATCAGGAGACCAGACATAGACCAGAGAAAGAGAGATGATGCAGTGTGAGCTTGCGTTAGGTGTGATGTGTTGAGTGAAGTGGGCAGATGTGTGCGTCTGCTGGACATGCCGCTCTGCTCCTGTCTCTGCTCCTGTCTCTGCTCCTGTCTCTGCTCCTGTCTCTGCTCCTGTCTCTGTTCTCGTCCTTCGTCCCACTCACAGATTTCACATTTCTCCGCGGCTCCGGCTCGGCGCTTGGCACAGCTGTTCCCTGGTCCCCACGGCCATTTAAAAACAGCAATAAATCAATCCAGGCACTCAATACAAGCGGGAAATTGACCAATTAGAGTGGCCCAAGATGCCGGACCATTTTACAAATTGGCTATCTATTTATATCAACACAGGCACTCGACAAGAAAGAAAAATACGGCTACAGTCAGTACTTTTGGTTTTTCTTCCGAGGAGAGCTTGGAGGCAAAGGCACTCCCCCCCCCCCCAGCTACACTTGTAATCATTAGAGCCTTCATTACCAAACATGATTGTCTTGTTCTGGTGTTAACGCTTCTGTTGTCATAAAACGGCAGCCAAGAGTCGAGGAAGATGTGGCCGGAGAAGTCAGTCACAATAACTTGTAATTACACAGAAACTAATGGAAATATATGAAAACAAAACAAAAACTGCACCAACTTCTTAAGCTTCATCAATCTTTGTGCTTAACAACCACCAAGTATAAACCTGAAGAACCCAACTTTTCTTTCTATAAATGTATGAATTTATGTGGGAAAGTGTATTGTCCGTCTGTTCTCCCTTTACCAGGGCGTGCAGCAAAAATGCTTCTTCAAGTGCACTGGCATCTGTTGGCAATCTGTCGGATTCTATTAAAAACATTTATTTTACTTTTCGGCTTGTGGTGAAAGATTATCCATCTCAGATCCAGTCTGCTGCCTCCGGCCTTCTCCATATGGCAGGTGCTACCGACACAACATGCAAAATACACGGACTGTACTTAACTCATGTTTTATTAAATGTAAACTCCAGGTCCTCCATGTTTAGCTGGTACTACTATATGAGGCCCTACATGTATGCGAAAGCCAGTTCCCAGACCTCTGAAGCTCAGCAGGGCAGGGCCTGGTTAGTGCTGTGATGGGAGACCTCTGGGAACAGCAGGTGCCACAGTGGGGCGGCTGTAAAGTGCCAAACTGTGGTTGTGTCCATAGGCAAGACACTTCACCCACATTAGAATGAGTCTGGAGCGTATGTGACAGTGTTGTGCCAGTTCACAGCTTTTCTGAACTAGCTCAAGTTTAGTTCATTTAACTTTTTTTGTGAGATATTCAAATAAATACTTTTGTTCACACTACGAGCTAGAAATCACACCGCACAGGATGCTTTTGACTCCAAAACAGTCCAGATTTACATGGGTTTTCCCAGTTGTTGTTGTCCCATCTCATAAGTACAGACAGTAATGTGCTGCAGTGTGTCTGTACTTTATGTCAAATGTAAACGGCCGTGTGTCGCTAATTCACCCTTTGTTTTCATCACGACACAGGCACATGTGAGTCCAACAACCCATGAAATGCACTAGCATACAGCGCCGCATCGCAACACGGAGTCGGGGTGCGTTCACAGACGGTGGAAACCGTGGGAATTTTTTGTTTTTGGCGGAAAACGTGCGGAGATTAGAGGAAGGAGGAACTTTCTTTTGTTGTGTTTCAAAAGAGAAAACAGATGTCACTCAGTTTTCAATGGAAAACAAATTCCAACGTTCATTTACGACATGGTCATGACACATAATGAGAACTAATTCACCTTCAAGTTCTTTATTAAAAAATGTGTTGCGTTCATTTCAACGTTCACAAAAAAATGAGCGTGTTCAATGAACGCGTTCTTTTGAACTCGTTCACGCACAACACTGGTGAGTGAATGGTTGGTGGTGGTCAGAGCGGCCGATGCCACAGACTGGTACACTTTACAGTATTATTCCAATCCTCTGAATTGGACACAAACTTCCATTGATCCACGAGGGAAACCTGTCAGGATCACCCATCTCCAGATGTTGGTAGAAACTCATCCAGGGAGGAACTTGCAAACTCTCCACACAGCCCGAGCCGGTGAGGGAACCGCATCAGAGACCTTCTCCTCTGAGACCGGAGCACTACCCAAATATCACTCTTTATTTTAGACTTTATTCCAAATTGGGGCTGGGCAATAAATCGGCTTTTGAAAAAAATCTAATTTGTGAAAAGTGTTAAAATTGTGAAATCGAATGAAGGATATTGTGAGAGTTCCAGCAGCACATCAATTACACTTGCGCTATCAGCACAGTCTGTACAAGACTTTTACATGGGTTAAAGTTGAAAAAATTCCTGAGCCTGAACCATCTATATGAATCATAGAATGATCACTAATAAGCGTTTTTTATAAGCGCCTTTATACGCTCATACATATAATTTATATCTATTTAATGCCAACAACTGATGTTTATTATAAACATCAGTTGTTGGCAATAAATACATCATCCAGGGGTTAAAGCAAAAAAAAAAAGATTTGACTGAAAATTTTCTCATGGAAATATAATGAATTACAGATCAAACGAATTCTTCAAAGATATACATTTAAACTGGTGTATTTTGATGTGAAATTACAACCAGTGGATCAAGCAACTTGTCAACTCTTTGACAGAATATTAGTGAGAGTAGTTCATCTGCATCATTGGCTTTACTTGAGGCGAGATGAGGCGTTGTCCTTTGGCTCTGTCCTCGTCAAAATATCGCAAAAGGACATTCAAAATTCTGTCCACATTTGTTTGTGGACACTCAATGTTTAAGAAAAAGGTTTCCCTATCAACTTGGTGCTAGTGCACAGCGCAGTTTTATCAACTGCAAATGATTAATGATAATTAAATCTACCAGCGGTAGTGATGGTTCTGAACGACAGGTTATTTTCTGCTATAAAGCCACAGATAGTTTTAGGTCACAGACACAGTCCACCAGAGCAAGCCTAGTCTCAGTTGTCGCTGAATCTGATGCACCAGGTAAAGAAGTGTGGGAAAGTGCACGGACAGCTGCCAAGTGCGCAGTTTTGAG